TGTGTCTGTGAATGTGCCTGTGCCTGTGTATGTGTCTGTTCCTGTGTCTGTGTCTGCGTCTGTGAATATGCCTGTGCCTGTGTCTGCGTGTGTGAATGTGAATGTGCCTGTGCCTGTGTCTGCACCTGTGTCTGTGTCTGTGTGTGTGAATGTGCCTGTGCCTGTGCCTGTGTCTGTTCCTGTGTCTGTGTCTGTGTGTGTGAATGTGAATGTGCCTGTGCCTGTGTCTGCACCTGTGCTGTCTCTGTGAATGTGCTGTGTCGGTGAATGTACTGTGCCTGTGAATGTGCCTCTGTCTGTGTCTGTGAATGTGCCTGTGTCTGTGCTGTGTCCGTGAATGTTTCTGTATCGGTGAATGTACTGTGCCTGTTAATGTGCCTGTGCCTGTGTCTCTGTCTGTGTCTGGGACTGTGTCTGTTTCTGCGTCTGTGAATGTGCCTGTGTCTGCGTCTGTGAATGTGACTGTGTCTCTGTTTGCGTCTTTAAATGTGCCTGGGCCTGTGCCTCTGTGTGTGTGTCTGTGTCTGTGAATGTGAATGTGTCTGTGTCTCTGTCTGTCAGCGTCTGTGAATATGTCTGTGAATGTGCCTCTGCATGTGTCTGTGTCTGTGTCTTTGCCTGTGTCTATACCTGTGCTTTCTGCCTGTGAATGTGTCTGTGTCTGTGTCTGTGCCTGTGTCTGTGTACCTGTGCTGTGTCTGTGACTGTGTGTCTGTGTCTGTGTCTGTGACTGTGCCTGTGGTGTGTCTGTGGTTGTGTCTGTGTCTGTGACTGTATCTGTCCCTGTGAATGCGCCTGTGTCTGTGACTGTGTCTGTGGTGTGTCTGTGGTTGTGTCTGTGTCTGTGACTGTATCTGTCCCTGTGAATGCGCCTGTGTCTGTGTCTGTGTCTGTGACTGTGTCTGTGTGGTGTGTCTGTGGTTGTGTCCGTGTCTGTGACTGTATCTGTCCCTGTGAATGTGCCTGTGTCTGTGAATGTGCCTGTGTCTGTGACTGTGTCTGTGTCTGTGTCTGTGTGAATGCGTCAGTGTCTGTCTGTGTCAGTGTCTGTGACTGACTGTGTCTGTGTCTGTGGTTGTGTCTGTGTCTGTGTCTGCGTCTGTGTCTCTGTCTGTGTCTGTGAATGCGCATGTGTCTGTGCCCGTGTCTGTGTCTATGCCTGTGAATGTGCCTGTGTCTGCGCTGTGAATGTGACTGTGTTTGAGTCTTTGAATGTGCCTGGGCCTGTGTCAGTGTGTGTGTCTGTGTGCATGTCTGTGAATGTGGCTGTGTGCATCTGTGAATTTGTCTGTGCCTGTGTCTATGTCTGTGTCTGTGAATGTGTCTGTATTTGTGCCTGTGTCTGTGAATGTGTCTGTATCTGTCTGTGAATGTGCATGCGTCTGTGAATGTGCATGTGTCTGTGCCTATGCCTGTGCCTGTGTCTGTGTATGTGAATGTGCCTGTGCCTGTGCATGTTTTGTGTCCGTGAATGTGTCTGTGTGTGTGAATGTGCTTGTGTCTTCGTCTGTGCCTGTGCCTGTGCCCGAGTCTGTACCTGTGCTGAGCCTGAGAATGTGCTGTGTCGGTGAATGTACTGTGCCTGTGAATTTGCCTGTCTGTGTCTGTGAATGTGCCTGTGTCTGTGTCTGTGTGTATGAATGTGCATGTGCCTGTGCCTGTGTCTGTCTGTATGAATGTGCCTGTGTCTGTGCCTGTGCCTGTGCCTGTGCCCGTGTCTATACCTGTGCTGTCTCTGTGAATGTGCTGTGTCGGTGAATGTACTGTGCCTGTGAATGTGCCTGTGTCTGTGACTGTGTCTCTGTCTGTGTCTGGGACTGTGACTATGTCTGTGCCCGTGTCTGTGATGTGACTATGTCTGTGTCTGTGCCAGTGATGTGACTGTGTCTGTGACTATGTCTGTGACCGTAACTGTGTCTGTGTCTGTGTCTGTGTCTGTGACTCTGTCTGTGACTGTAACTGTGTCTGTGTCTGTGTCTGTGACTCTGTCTGTGACTGTGACTGTGTCTGTGTCTGTGTCTGTGTCTGTGACTCGTGTCTGTGACTGTGTCTGTGTCTGTGATGTGACTGTGTCTGTGTGTCTGTGCCCGTCTGTGATGTGACTGTGTCTGTGTCTGTGTCTGTGATGTGACTGTGTCTGACTGTGTCTGTGATGTGACTATGTCTGTGCCCGTGTCTGTGATGTGACTGTGTCTGTGTCTGTGCCTGTGCCTGTGCCTGTGTCTGTGACTGTGCCTGTGTCTGTGCCCGTGTCTGTGTGTGACTGTGTCTGTGCTGTGTCTGTGATGTGACTGTGACTGTGCCTGTGTGCCTGTGGCTGTGCCTCCGTGTCTGTGTCTGTGTCTGTGCCGTGTCTGTGACTGTGTCTGTGACTATGTCTGTGCCTGTGTCTGTGACTGCCTGTGACTGTGTCTGTGTCTGTGTCTGTCTGTGATGTGACTGTGTCTGTGTCTGTGTCTGTGTCTGTGACTGTCTCTGAATGTGTCTGTGTCTGTGATGTGTATCTGTGTGTCTGTGTCTGTATGAATGTGCCTGTGTCTGTGACTGTGTGTGTCTGTGCCTGTGTGGACTGTGTCTGTGTCTGTGCCCGTGTCTGTGATGTGACTGTGTGTGTGCCTGTGGCTGTGCCTGTGTCTGTGTCTGTGACTGTGTCTGTGACTCTGTCTGTGACTGTGTCTGTGTCTGTGTCTGTGTCTGTGTCTGTGACTGTGTCTGTGTCTGTGTCTGTGACTGTGTCTGTGTTTGTGAATGTGTCTGTGTCGGTGAATGTGTATGTGCCTGTCTGTGTCCGTGAATGTGTCTGTCTGTATGAATGTGCCTGTGTCTGTGACTGTGCCTGTGCCCGTGTCTATACCTGTGCTGTCTCTGTGAATGTGCTGTGTCGGTGAATGTACTGTGCCTGTGAATGTGCCTGTGTCTGTGACTGTGTCTGTGTCTGTGTCTGGGACTGTGTCTCTGTCTGTGTCTGGGACTGTGACTATGTCTGTGCCCGTGTCTGTGATGTGGCTATGTCTGTGTCTGTGCCTGTGATGTGACTGTGTCTGTGACTATGTCTGTGCCCGTGTCTGTGATGTGACTGTGTCTGTGCCTGTGTCTGTGATGTGACTGTGTCTGTGCTGTGTCTGTGATGTGACTATGTCTGTGCCCGTGTCTGTGATGTGACTGTGTCTGTGCCTGTGTCTGTGATGTGACAGTGTCTGTGCTGTGTCTGTGTGTGACTGTGTCTGTGTCTGTGCCCTGTGATGTCTGTGCCTGTGTCTGTGATATGACTGTGTGCCTGTGTCTGTGCCCGTCTGTGCCTGTGCCTGTGTCTGTGTCTGTGTCTGTGACTCTGTATGTGCCTGTCTGTGTCCGTGAATGTGTCTGTGTGTGTGAATGTGACTGTGTCTGTTACAGTCAATGTTTCTGTGACTGTGACTGTGCCTGTGTCTGTGTCTGTGTCTGTGTCTGTTTCTGTGACTGTGACTGTGTCTGTTTCTGTGTCTGTGACTGTGACTGTGCCTGTGTCTGTGTCTGTGTCTGTGTCTGTGTCTGTTTCTGTGAATGTGCCTGTGTGTTTGTGAGTGTCTATGGGGAAATATCCACACCAGCTACACGCAGTGTATAGAAGTATGATTATTTACGGAAGTATATCCCAATTATAAATGTAATTTTAAACAAATATGCATCTATGGGGAGGAAGTGAGCTGGAATTAAGGTTATATGATATTTCCATAGGCAATTAAAGAAAGTGACAAGCTTATATATAGCACAGACAATAAGTAGATTATTTTTGGATTTGTGTCTAACATCGACGTGATGTTTAGCCAGTAAACGTTATTTCCTTACTTCCTGTTGTGAGTGAATATTGTTTAACGTCGCCTAAGAGATGGTACGGCTATTCACGTGGGATATTCTTTTAATGCAGAGGCAAGTATAGACAAATGTATACACATGGTTTTAACTACATGCTTCTGATTAAGTAACTATGATACCGTGCAACCGAAAATCAAATCACATGTTCACACATCCCATAGCAACACAATGTCAGTGCCAACAACAACTGGAGACCAGTTCTCATATGTGTCATGAACACATACGTAAAGAATGTATTGGCTGCTTGAAGGCACAGTCGCATCGGGACAAGAGGAATACAGTGGGCATTGATCCTCATCCCTGGAGGCTAACACAGGACACATCAGTGTGTACTGGATATGTGCACGTGAGTCTGTGCAATTGTAGTTTCCGAAATGTGTTGATATGCGACGCGTTTGTGACAATCCTGTCCTGCGAAACACTTGCTCTGATGATTTCGAGGTGGTATGTCGCACACTATATAATGATGATATCGGTTAACCACTCTACGTGATGATATCGAGATGATATGTCACCCATTCTATCATGAGATGGTATGTCACCCGCTCTACATGATGATATCGAGATAATATATCATCCACTTTAGATGATGATATTGAGATGTAATGTCACCTGCTCTATACGATAATATCGGTCACTCAGTCTAGATGATGATATCGATATGATATGTCACCCACTCTTAATGATGATATCGATATGGTTTGCCATCCACTCCACATGATGATATCGAGATGGTATGTCACCCATTCTAGATGAAGATATCGAGATGGTATGTCATCCACTCTACATGATGATATCGAGATGGTATGTCACCCAGTCTAGATGAAGATATCGAGATGGTATGTCACCCAGTCTAGATGAAGATATCGAGATGGTATGTCACCCACTCGACATGATAATATTGAGATGGTATGTCATCCACTCTAGATTATGATATCGAGATGGTATGCCATCGACTCTAAACGGTCTTACCCCCATCTCACTCACACGCACATTCACTTACCCACCCACTCACTCACTCATGCACACACTTACTCACTCATTCATGCACTCACTCACGCACTCACACATTTCGGAAGACAGGACTTCCAGCCGCCCTTCAGTTATAGCAAACTGATATATTTCAGCTATTTCCACCATAGATAATGAAGATATGTATAAAAGCTACAGGTAGGTTGTATCCCTTTTGCCAAGGTCTGACTGACAATCTCTAGTAAAGGTGAGATGGCGTTTGTCAGTGACTGCAACGCGTCATATGTACAGTGGGACAGGAAACATGTTTCTCAGTGTCCATTGTATCCGAGTTTTACTCCAGTTTTTACTGTAGTATCAATGACCCGTTACTCACCCGGCCCGTACATCACGGCACACAAGCTGACGGGGAGGATCGCATGACAGTCTGCAGACAGTTCAACCGTCAATACACAGCAGCTTGTGCACAATTGTGACGGGTATGGGACTGTACAAATGAGGACCGAGGTTCTGGCGATCAGGCCACATCGGAGGCCATCCCGTGATGTAACCCTTCTACTGGTGATTGAGTCATCGTAACGCAGCCGAGGACGGTAGGCATGTTATGGGGCAGTATACAGGGCACTTAAAAGGCCGTGACCCTGATGGATATATAGAAAAAGCTATAAACTATTCATAGGGATGGTTCATCATTGGACATGACATTGTCCCACGGTTCTCTTCAAGTTCTTATTCCACGCTATCACTTACATACATGTTAGAGAACGGAGGCCACGTGTTTCCGCCAGCTTTGCTTCGATTCGGAACCTTCACCTCATCCTTTGTCGGGGGAATGACATTTGGGTGAGAAAGCGGAATCTATATTCTCCCGTCGATTTGTATCTCTCCTTTCCTCCCCAATCGATCACACGTCAAGATAACTGAGATTTACACTTAAAAGAAATGGACCCTGGCTTCCCGATTACTGCCATGCATAGCAGAAAACAAGTAGATTACATTAAACACAGGCGAAACGAAAACACCTGCATATAGAAACTAGGGTCTACACCAGACAGATTCGTGGTCCCACTCACAGAGCCGGGCTTGCAGACTAGTCTCGCGGCTATCAAAGGGAACGGGCACTTGTCCCCAGATCGATACACAATAAGTAGTATCTAAAACACTTGTTGAACTGCACCCAGTGTAGGTTTGAACTCTACGCTATTATAGCCAGGACAACGTTAAACCACATCGCGTGCGGATTGTGTTTCTTTCCACAGCCCCACCATGGGAGATGAGGGAGGCCCGTTCTATATCAGTGCATATTGTTTGAATTACAGACTTATTACGACACACAGAATACGTATGGGTATCTTGTACAAATATGTCAGTATACGTACCTAAATGACATTGTCTTATCGGGTGTTATATCAGTACAATCACACCGTACAGTTACCAGTGCTAATTACGCCTATACAAACTGGCATATATCTGTTTATATATGTGCAACAGGGCGTGATGATAATCCCAATCAGCACCTTATCGATATACTATGATCAGTCATTATTACCTACCTACAGTGAAAACAGTAAGACATTAAGCAATAGACCGCTGTGTTATAAGCTGTATCGGGGCTACTTTATACTGATCTCCAATGTCAATTTAATTCAACTTTAAATACATTAAAGCATGTGGGCAGATCTGATATGGCTTGACTGGGTTCTAGAGTGAGGGATTTACATAATTATCAGTGGCTGGTCTTTCGTGAATAACTGTTGTAATGAAATCAACCCCATGACGTGTGAAATGAGAGGTAAAATTCGTCAGTCATTATTCATGGAAGAGTCTTGTAATCCCCTAACCCGTAACTAAACACGTTTACAGCAAAAAACGCTTCTTGCCGCTCAACAAATAGTCGTTTTATCTTTATGAAACGACACAAGACGTGGAAACACAAGCCACCTTTAAATCAATGCTACTGTAGTATATGCAAGCTATTGACGTACCTTATGTCTGTTGCATGTGTACTCCACAGAAACGTGTGATAACCATTGTCCATACAAGGTAGATTTAAGACCATCAGGCGCTTATTGTTAGTCGGTGAGGCTCTCTCACTCAGGTCCAATCAAGCGAAGGGATAGCGTCATTGACTTCTACACTCAAATCTTCAACTGGCCAGTCCCATTTTGGAGGTCGACATTCCCCGCTGACGTCGAGTTTGCCGTTACTGGACATCCATCAGCCAGCTGGTCGGGGCCGTCTTGACAACATAGACTCTGAAAGAAGATGTCCAGGGCACTTTAGGGGACGATTAACGGTATATCCAAGGCAGCTTCCGAATTCCAACATCGATCTAGTCGAGATCGGCTCCTGCATTGTGTAGAGGCCTGTATGTTTGTTGGTAGGGAGGTAGTTCCCCAGCTCGCTTTAATTTACAAATATACATGCATACAGCATTTATGCCTTCCTCAAACCTGTTGATTTTTGCAAAAAAGTAACTTCAATACAAGTTAATTGCGAAAATGTTGAAATTTTCAAATTTCTCCCTTTCATTCAAAGCGACATGTATATTAGTCGAGTGTGATTGCTGATTGCAATGTTGTGTCACATGCATTGAGACATATCACTGCATAGAGCTCTACCGCGTTGGTAAACCATGTGTCCTTATCCTAACACTAGTGTAACGATCATCTCGGAATGGTAAGGCTGTAGAGAGGCCGGGGGTTCTGTGAATGTCTGTCAAGAGGGCTAAAGTACAAGTGCTACCGGAGTATTTGTGAATTTGTCACATTTAGTGATAAGCTCTTAGACCGGATGAAAAGTCAGAAATGTTGACAAACTTGCACATGTTATAAACTCTTATTTGCAGAAATGTTTAGCAAGCCAGTTAATTCAGATATTAAACGATATTTGAAACTGGCTTCAATGGCAATTTTATGAATGACATGCTGTAAATGTTTCAAAATTTATTTTGCTGTGACACGTGGATTAAAGTCGGCATCTCAGCTGTTGTGAAGAAGTTAGATCCCGGCTGTCACGTGTATTGCCGTATGAAATGTCATCGGCAGCTCGTGTCGTGCACGTGTGCACATGAGGCTGGTGCAGACCTGTTACTCAGTGATGTCGTTGCTGTGGCTGTTGTTTTGTTTTGATGCTGTTGTTAATTATTCATGCAATCCCGCATCACGTAGGAGGACTGCATCTGTCAGTGCATGAGACGGTCAATCTTCGGGTGCATTTATAGTGCATGTGACGGTCAATCTTCGGGTGCAGTTATAGTGCATGAGACGGTCAATCTTCGGGTGCATTTACAGTGCATGTGACGGTCAATCTTCGGGTCCATTTATAGTGCATGTGACGGTCAATCTTCGGGTGCAGTTATGCCGTAAAACCCTCTCCAGTTCTTCTACTGCAGGAGCGTTTGTAGCACTCGAGCCCCCATTCCCACTACACACTCTGGCACCTACTTACTTTACCACCACCTGTTTCTGCCCCTTACTTTCCTACACACTATCTCGCTACTTGTGAGCACAATCTGTGCATATTCCTCAACTTCCCTCCATCATCTCCCCTAACTCATCCCCTCTCTCCATTTCTCAACGTCAACACATCCACCTCACCTAACCTACACTCTCTCTCTTCTTTCCTCAGCCTTCCCACCTAAACCTCACCTAACTCAAACCCCTCTTTCCACTCTGAAACATCCCTATGACATCTCAATCTCAACTAACTCAACCCACTCACCCTACCTTCCCACCACCTCACCCCACTCTCCCCTACCTTCCCACCATCCATCTAACCCTACGCTCCCCTACCTTCCTAACAGCCATCTCACTCTCAACTACCTTCCCACCAACCATCTCACCCCGCTCTCCCCTACCTTCCCACCAGCCATCTCACTCTCTCCTACCTTCCCACCATCTCACCCTACTCTCCCCTACCTTCCCACCGTCCATCTCTCACCCTACACTCCCTACCTTCCTAACAGCCATCTCACTCTCCCCTGCCTGCCTCCCACCATCAATCTAACCCCACTCTCCCCTACCTTCCCACCATCTCAACCCACTCTCCCTACCTTCCCACCATCTCACCCTCACTCCCCTACCTTCCCACCACCTCACTCTCCCTACACTCTCCCCTACCTTCCCACCATCTCACCCTACTCTCCCCTACCTTCCTAACCATCCATCTCTGTCTGTCACCTTCTCTAACCATCCATCCTCCCCACTCTCCCTACCTTCTAACCATCCATCTCACCCCACTCTCCCCCTACCTTCAGCCATCTCACCCCACTCTCCTCTCCCCTACCTTCCCACCATCTCACCCCACTCTCCCCTAGCCTTTCCCACCATCTCACCACCTCACCTACCTTCCCACCCATCTCTCAACCCCACTCCTCCCCCTACCTTCCCACCATCATCTCACCCCACTCCTCACCCCTACCTTCTAACCATCCATCTCACCCCACTCACCCCTACCTTCCCACCATCTCACCCCCACTCTCCTCCCTACCTTCCCACCATCTCACACCCACTCTCCCTACCGTCCCACCATCTCACCCCCACTCACCCCCTACCTTCTAACCATCCATCTCACCCCACCTCCCCTACCTTCCCACCATCTCACCCCACTCTCCCCTACCTTCCCACCATCCTCACACCACTCTCACCTACTTTCCCACCAGCCATCTCACCCCACTCCTCCCCAATCTCCCCCCACTCTCCCCTACCATCTCACCATCTCACCCCCACTCCCCTACCTCAACCCACTCCCCCTACCTCTCTCACCATTCCTCACCCCTCCTACCTTCTAACCATCCATCTCACCCCACTCCCCCTACCTTCCCACCATCTCACCCCACTTCCCCCACCTTCCCTCCTCACTACCTCCCCACCGTCCCACCATCTCACCCCACTCTCCCCTACCTTCCCACCAGCCATCTCACCCCACTCTCCCTACCTTCCCCCACCATCTCACCCCACTCTCCACCTACCTTCCCACCATCTCACACCTACTTTCTCACCAGCCATCTCACCCTACTCTCCATCTCACACCACCCTCACCCCACTTCCCACCGTCCCCATCTCACCCCTCTCACCTACCTTCCCACCATCTCCCACTCTCCCCTACTCTCCCCACCATCTCACCACTATCTCACCCCACTCTCCCCTACCTTCCCACCATCTCGGGTAGCCATGGCAGGGAGTAGCGTAGTGAACATCTTCCCCGTTATATCAGCGTGTAAGACTGATACTGGCAAAACCCGAACTGATGCAGGTCTTACAAGCTTACCGCTTCACTTAAAAACACGAGCACGAGTATGACAATCCGAGAACCATATCGAACCGATTATAGGCTTGTGATGTGCCCAAGGGATGCGGATACTAGACCTACTGTGTCCGTCTACCAAGGGAGGGATGCTGATATTCAGACTTGATGGTGAATCGACTTATTTCACAATAATCTATATCCTACATTAATCATGCTGTCATATTCAATATCTTGCTGAACGTTCGGAATCATATTCAATAAGAGATTTTAGAATCCAAACCTGCATTGATTACTGTCATCAGTTATATAGTTAGATTTATTCATCATCAAATCAAACTTCAAGCAATTGAAGACACCATATATGTCTGTACGGTTTTGGTCCTGCGCATACTGTGGGTCTACAAGTCGACTTACCTGGTCAGTGAGGAGGCTTGTGGGTAAAGTATTGTGGGAAAAGTCATATGGTTTAGGCCCAGTGGGTAAAACCTCGTTGGTAAAGTAATTTAGGTGAAGTTTTAGGGCAGCATCTAGTTAGTAACGTCGTATAGTTAGAATTCTGTTGGAAAGGTCTAGTAGGTAAAGTATTGTGGAGACAGTCGCGTGTGGTATAACTGGTAAAGTCTAGTGGGTAAATTATTGTGGGGAAAGTCGTGTGTGGTGTTGTTGGTAATGTCTAGTGGGTAAATTATTGTGGGGAAAGTCGTGTGTGGTGTTGTTGGTAATGTCTAGTGTGTTTAGTGGGTAAATTATTGTGGGGAAAGTCGTGTGTGGTGTTGTTGGTAATGTCTAGTGTGTTTAGTGGGTAAACTACTGTTGGGAAAGTCGTGTGTGGTGTCACTGGTAATGTCTAATGTGTTGAGTGGGTAAAGTATTGCGGGGAAAGTCGTGTGTGATGTTACTGGTAATGTTTAGTGGGTAAATTATTGTGGGGATAGTCGTGTTTAGTGTTGTTGGTAATGTCTAGTGTGTTTAGTTGGTAAATTATAGTGGGGAAAGTCGTGTGTTGTGTTGTTGGTAATGTCTAGTGGGTAAATTATTGTGGGGAAAGTCGTGTGTGGTGTTGTTGGTAATGTCTAGTGGGTTAAGTGGGTACATTATTGTGGGGAAAGTCGTGTGTAGTGTTGTTGGTAATGTCTAGTGTGTTTAGTGGGTAAAGTATTGTGGGGAAAGTCGTGTGTGATGTTACTGGTAATGTCTAGTGGGTAAATTATTGTGGGGAAAGTCGTGTGTGGTATAACTGGTAATGTCTAGTGGGTAAATTATTGTGGGGAAAGTCGTGTGTAGTGTTGTTGGTAATGTCTAGTGTGTTTAGTTGGTAAATTATAGTGGGGAAAGTCGTGTGTTGTGTTGTTGGTAATGTCTAGTGGGTAAATTATTGTGGGAAAGTCGTGTGTGGTGTTGTTGGTAATGTCTAGTTGGTAAATTATTGTGGGGAAAGTCGTGTGTTGTGTTGTTGGTAATGTCTAGTGGGTAAATTATTGTGGGGAAAGTCGTGTTTGGTGTTGCTGGTAATGTCTAGTGGGTAAATTATTGTGGGGAAAGTCGTGTGTAGTGTTGTTGGTAATGTCTAGTGTTTTTAGTTGGTCAATTATAGTAGGGAAAGTCGTGTGTTGTGTTGTTGGTAATGTCTAGTAGGTAAATTATTGTGGGGGAAAGTCGTGTGTAGTGTTGTTGGTAATGTCTAGTGTGTTTAGTTGGTAAATTATAGTGGGGAAAGTCGTGTGTTGTGTTGTTGGTAATGTCTAGTAGGTAAATTATTGTGGGGAAAGTCGTGTGTAGTGTTGTTGGTAATGTCTAGTGTGTTTAGTTGGTAAATTATAGTGGGGAAAGTCGTGTGTTGTGTTGTTGGTAATGTCTAGTGGGTAAATTATTGTGGGGAAAGTCGTGTGTGGTGTTGTTGGTAATGTCTAGTTGGTAAATTATTGTGGGGAAAGTCGTGTGTTGTGTTGTTGGTAATGTCTAGTGGGTAAATTATTGTGGGGAAAGTCGTGTGTGTGTGTTACTGGTAATGTCTAGTGGGTAAATTATTGTGGGAAAGAAAGTCGTGTGTAGTGTTGTTGGTAATGTCTAGTGTTTTTAGTTGGTCAATTATAGTAGGGAAAGTCGTGTGTTGTGTTGTTGGTAATGTCTAGTAGGTAAATTATTGTGGGGAAAGTCGTGTGGGATGTTACTGGTAATGTCTAGTGGGTAAATTATTGTGGGGAAAGTCGTGTGTGGTGTTGCTGGTAATGTCTAGTTGGTAAATTATTGTGGGGAAAGTCGTGTGTGGTGTTGTTGGTAATGTCTAGTGGGTTTAGTGGGTAAATTATTGTGGGGAAAGTCGTGTGTGGTGTTGTTGGTAATGTCTAGCGTGTTCAGTTGGTAAATTCTAGTGGGGAAAGTCGTGTGTGGTGTTGTTGGGAATGTCTAGTGGGTAAATTATTGTGGGAAAAGTCGTGTGTGATGTTACTGGTAATGTCTAGTAGGTAAATTATTGTGGGGAAAGTCGTGTGTGGTGTTGTTGGTAATGTCTAGTGGGTAAATTATTTTGGGAAAGTCGTGTGTGGTGTTGTTGGTAATGTCTAGTGGGTTTAGTGGGTAAATTATTGTTGGGAAAGTCGTGTGTGGTGTCACTGGTAATGTCTAGTGTGTTTAGTGGGTACAGTATTGCGGGGAAAGTCGTGTGTGATGTTACTGGTAATGTCTAGTGGGTAAATTATTGTGGGGAAAGTCGTGTGTAGTGTTGCTGGTAATGTCTAGTGGGTAAATTATTGTGGGGAAAGTCGTATGTGATGTTAATGGTAATGTCTAGTGGGTAAATTATTGTTGGGAAAGTCGTATGTTATGTTACTGGTAATGTCTAGTTGGTAAATTTTTGTGGGGAAAGTCGTGTGTGATGTTACTTGTCATGTTTAGTTGGTAAATTATTGTGGGGAAAGTCGTGTGTGCTGTTGTTGGTAATGTCTAGTAGGTAAATTATTGTGGGGAAAGTCGTATGTGATGTTAATGGTAATGTCTAGTGGGTAAATTATTGTTGGGAAAGTCGTATGTTATGTTACTGGTAATGTCTAGTTGGTAAATTTTTGTGGGGAAAGTCGTATGTGATGTTACTTGTCATGTTTAGTTGGTAAATTATTGTGGGGAAAGTCGTGTGTGGTGTTGTTGGTAATGTCTAGTGGGTGAATTATTGTGGGGAAAGTCGTATGTGGTGCTGCTGGTAATGTCTAGTCGGTAAATTATTCTTGGGAAAGTCGTGTGTGATGTTACTGGTAATGTCTAGTTGGTAATTTATTGTAGGGAAAGTCGTATGTGGCGTTGCTGGTAATGTCTAGTGGGTAAATTATTGTGGGGAAAGTCGTGTGTGATGTTACTGGTAATGTCTAGTGGGTAAATTATTGTGGGAAGAAAGGTCGTGTGTGATGTTACTGGTAATGTCTAGTGGGTAAATTATTGTGGGGAAAGTCGTATGTGTTGTTGCTGGTAATGTCTAGTTGGTAAATTATTGTGGGGAAACTCGTGTGTGGTGTTACTGGTAATGTCTAGTAGGTAAATTATTGTGGGGAAAGTCGTGTGTGGTGTTGCTGGTAATGTCTAGTTGGTAAATTATTGTGGGGAAAAAGTGTGTTGGGAAAGTGGGTAAATTATGTGTGCTGTTCTTGGTAATGTCTAGTTGGTAAATTATTGTGGGGAAAGTCGTGTGTGATGTTGTTGGTAATGTCTAGTGGGTAAATTATTGTGGGGAAAGTCGTGTGTGGTGTTACTGCTAATGTCTAGTTGGTAAATTATTGTGTGGAAAGTCGTGTGTGGTGTTGTTGGTAATGTCTAGTGGGTAAATTATTTTGGGGAAAGTCGTGTGTGGTGTTGTTGGTAATGTCTAGTAGGTAGATTATTCTGGGGAAAGTCGTGTGTGATGTTACTGGTAATGTCTAGTGGGTAAAGTATTGTTGGGACAGTCGTGTGTGGTGTTGCTGGTAATGTCTAGTTGGTAAATTATTGTGGGGAAAGTCGTGTGTGGTGTTGCTGGTAATGTCTAGTGGGTAAATTATTGTTGGAACAGTCGTGTGTGGTGTTGCTGGTAATGTCTAGTGGGTAAATTATTGTTGGAACAGTCGTGTGTGGTGTTACTGGTAAAAGGCAGTAGTCACTTTAATTTCATACTGGAACGACAAGAAACCATCACATGTCGTCCATCAACTGGATGTGTGAAGGGAAGGCTACAGGCGGTGGTATCCAGGTCTAAATGTGTTTAGATAAACAGGCGAAAGAAAGAATACATTTGAAAATGTGATTTGAACCAAAAATTAACCTCATCAAATCAAAATATTATGAGTGTGAAAACTGTAATCTTTAGGTCCAAAACTCAACTATGGAACCCTATCAGATACATCTCCCATCGAACCACCATTACTTATTCGTTTCAATGTAAGCATTAAACATGGATATACACTTTCTTTTCTCGGACAGTCTGTTTTCAGATAGCTAACAGTATATTCAAGACATCTACACAGGTGTGGTAACGCATGTTGCCAGTTTCTCTATAGGATATTAGGTGTAATGAGTGAATGCTTGACGAAACTACGAGCCATGATAATACAATGGTAGGATTGACGAGAGTACAGGAGTTCATGTCGAATGCTTAACGAAAATACCGAAGCAAGTTGAAAAATACTGAAAGAGCTCAAGAGCGTATGTGTTATATAATAAATAGTATCTGCGTGTATAAGATTCTTATCAATAACAGGTTAGATACTAAAATCATAGAAACCAGACAATAAAGCCCAATACAAATTAAAAAAATAGTACTGATTATATAACTGCAATCTCCTTCATGAACAAACATCGAACTGCGGTAGCGATCACATCCAGGTGATCAGATAATCATTCTGCGCATGCTCCGTGCCCACTTGTTGCCTGTTTCCATCTAAATCCACTTAATAACTCCT